TTGGAGGTGCAAATCCATGTCCAGTCAGCTCAGTCCACTGGTACCTCTGATGCAGGTGTACTGACTTGCGTTTCTAGGTTTTCCCTACTGCCTGTCATGGCCGTAGTGAACCCAACACTGGAGATAGGAGCAGCTGCAGTGCAGTGTGAGATAACCAGCAGACAGAGTAAACCAGCTGGGAGCCTTCCCTTCACCCCCTTGTCTGAAGCGGAACTTGGGCTGAGAGTTGGGGATGGTGGCCCCCTCAGCAATCTGTTGCGATTTCCCTCGACAAACGGACCAAACAGTGCAGACTGATGCGGCCAGAGTCTGGGTTGGGCTCAGCTCCTGCACAGAGATTATGGTGGACCATCCATCATGATTTTAGTAGCTGTGTTGATTTGGAGAGGCAGCCGGAGGTGCCGTTTCCCAGTCCTCTCTGGATGGTTTGCTTCACAGTTTGGGAGTTGAGTGAGCGAGCTCATGGTTACATCTTCCTGTTGATCGCAATGTGGCCCATGCTGAGGAGTGAAGCACTGAGGCTTTTGCATTTTGGGGCTAACCTAAGTAGTTAGCCCCAAAGTAGGGGTAGCCTTAGTAGTGGCAGTGCAGCTATTGTATCTTCTGTGCTGAGCTTAGTGTTTTCTATTTTGATTTAATTATTCAGAGGTGATTCGCTGTTGTTAATGGGCATGTTTGGAATCTGACTTAAATCAAAAATAAAGTGGCTTTAGGTAGAGTGCTTCATAGAGTCCCGAGCTTTAGGACTATCGTGAAGCATCTTCCTTTGATCAGTTTGGGTTTGCCTCTTTCTCAAATGCATGAGTTGGTCTCTGTAAACTCGGCTGCACACCCTGCTGTCAGCAGCTTGGCTTCCTGTCATTAAGCAACTCGGGTTTACCAGCTGCCTTTGTTATTACCTCCCTGGGGACTATTTGGATTTTACATTACTCCTCTGATTCCTGTGCTAATAAGCTTTTACAAAACAGCTTTCCTATGTGAGTCGTTCCGCAGTGCTGAAGCGTCGGCTTTAGGAAGCTACAGTCCTTCCAATGGTGCTTTTAGGTTGGCAGTACAAAAGCAGGGAAGAGTGGTGTTGTCTCGGCAACTGGAGACAGAAGTGGGCCATGGTCAAATGAACAGGCCCTTTCCATCAAGAAATGGGGGGAAAGTGCTTAGCGAGGTTATATCATGAGAATTAAAATATGAAAGTAAGTAAAATGATTATTAAGTTTCAGTCACTGTAGAAGTTTCAGACCCTGACACCTTAGATAAACTTTTCGAAATGTAACTGGATCAGTGGAGATTCCAACTACGTAACTCTGGGTTCAAAAGCTGATCTATTAATTTTTACAAACTGGTACCAGTTTTTTGTCTAACTGGGCACCTTCATTTTCACAGGTATTATAACTACTGGATCAACCTTAGCAGAGTACTACTATTACGTCTCAGCCTACAGAATTTTATACAGTGATGATGCACAGAAATGGACAGTATACAGAGAACCTGGCATGGATAAAGATAAGGTAAAAATACCAGACACTTTCTAGGTATGTTCTATGGAGATTTCACAATTGTAAATATGACCAATTTTGGTACGGTGAGGAAGCATTAAATAACTTTCATTTTCAGTGTAGTTTTGAATCATAAATGGCATCTATGCAGAAGAAAATATGAAAATATGCAGATATGTAAGGATTTGAACAGTTCTGAAATTCAGAGATTATTACTATTTGGGGACAGGAATATTCTATACAAGGAACTTCCGTTGTCAGTGGTAGGCCGTCTGGTACTGTGTCTCTTTAAGAATAATCAGATTTCTTTCAAAATAGGTTGTATGTTTCAAAATTAAGGTTTACATTCTTATCCTCTTGTGGTTACAGAATAAATGTTAGGGATTGTATAATTTTCCATCTTTTATGATGTTTCTGTCAATCTTACTTTTTGACAAAATGCTGGCAAGTTTCTTTCTTGTATAGTAGAACAGCCCTTGCAGAGGAGAGTTTTCTTAAAAAATGAAATGGTATGTTCAGATTGCAAATGCTTTGCCACACAGAATAATTACCTAATGTTAGCAGCAAGATAATCTTATTTTCCCTATGTTTACAGTTTTGCAGTATTTAATAGACAGTAAAAATGAGAAGATTAATGTCCTACGTGGTCTTTGCAGTGGTTCAGATCAGATTTTCTTAAACAAATGAGCGGATTCTTGGTAACCTGACTGGAGCTGGAATTTCCTTCTTTTCCTTAAAATTCTTGGATGTAATTTACCTTGCTTCCATAGGCCGTGGTATTAGATACATGCAATAGTAACTAGTAACCTAATAACTTTTTAGAAACGGGTCTTAAGAATGGTAACTCTTTAGCTGTGCTTGGTTTTCTTCTGTTTACCGTGGGTTAAGAATGTTTCAAGGTAGGGCGTAGCATCCTGTTGATGAAGTGAAAGGTTGAAGTAGCTTGTTTGTTAAATTAAGAGGTTTTTGAACACTGAACGTAATCACAGAAGGAAACTTTCCTGAAAGGAGGAGACTTTACTGTCGGGGCTGGTCCATCTCCTTGAACGTACACGTGAACTAACAGACTGTTAGTATCAAGTATTCAAGGAAAAAAAAAGATAAAAATCCAGCATCTTTTGCTAGTTTTCAAGTGCCCTCTTCTGGCCATAAAACAAAATCTCAGCTAGCGAACCACCTAGATTTAGGCTTCATGTTTAGTTTGATTATTTTCTTAGAAAACCTTTGCAGCTGTTGCCTTTTAATTTGAGCATATCATTTTTCTTGCAAGTTCATGAAATGAAACAAATTGTGGAGCTTGAAATTACGGGCAACAGATCTTTTTTTGCACTCTTTGTATCATTAGGTACAATGCGTGAAGAACCACACATATCCAGGAAGTGCCAGCTCTAGTTAAATGACAGAAAAAAGGGTTCAGTATGGTTAGTCTCTTAGGCTTCAAAATAGCAGGTTTTTCCTCTGTCTGACATCATCTCACTTGATACAGCTTTGCTTTTGGATGCATACGCGTGCAGGCTGCTCCCTTTGAGCCTTACGTAATTGCACACCAGACAAACCAGGAGGTGCTAGTCCCCGTTTTTTTGAAAAATGTTTGGAATCCCTAATGTTGTTCGGGAGACCAGAAGCTTTTCCAAGGCTTTCCTGTAGTCCTCTTTGCAAATAGCTTCTGGAGATCTGTCAGTACTCGAGAAAAGCTTTTCTTAACATTTTTATATCTGAAAAAAGAATAAAATGCTTGAATTGGGGAAAAATGACAAATCAAAGTTGCCGTGTTGGAAAAGTTTAGTTTGACAGCGCAGAGGCAAACGGAGAGAGTTTGATGATAAATGGAATATGAAAGTGATTTCTCATCAAAAAACTTGCACTGCATTGAGCTCAGAAGCAATTTTTTTTGTGCAAAAAATTAAATGAACAAAAAGTATTGAGCTGCAGGTGAAGTGAAGTTACTATCGTAACGCTTGACATCAAAAGCTTGACTAAAAAAAGCCTGGAGTAAAGAACTACTTCACTGTTAATCTTTCTTGAAGATAATAGTCAACGTTAACGATTCTTGTGGCCTTTGTTGTTACATGCTCAGCCTCAGAAACCTGAAGTGAGAACTTCAGTGTTGGGCATCTTTTTTCCTCATCTGTAACTTCTGCATTTGTTGCTCGGGTAGCCAGATGCAGCTTGCACCTTCTTCTAGTAGCGGGCACTGGCGTGGCACAGCGCAAACAAGGATACAGTACAGCAATTTGGGCTGGGCGCATCCCCTCGAAGAGTCACCTCTGTGTTTTGCTTCTCATTTGCATCTTTACCAAAACAAGTAATTCTCAGGTGAGATCTGTAGCTACAAGCCTGTCAGCTTCAAAAAAAAAAAAAAAAAAAAAGTTGCCCTAGTTTAGGGGAAAAGTGGCTGTAAATTGGAACCCAGTCTCCTGTGTTCTTGCCACGTCTCACTAGATTGTGAATACTTGGACACACAAACTGTGACTGCTTTGTATTATTCATTTATTTCCAAAACAACACAGTAGACTCGCCCTCGCATTTAATCCATTGCTAGTAAGTATATTTAAGAACAATAAGCTTAAATTCAGAGCAGGACAAATATCACCGAGAGCTGTGTGCTTGTAAATCTGCACTGCAGTAAGTGGGGGAAGAACAGAAACTGTACACTTTCAAGGCAAATACCTTGTGTTTGCTTACCTAGCTTTTTAGTATCATGAATGGGTTAGCAGTTAGCTTGATAGTGTTACTTGGATACGTAAAAATGAAAATGCTGGCTACTAATTTAAGATGTAGAAAAACCAATACGCTCAAACATGAAGTACTGCATTTACATTACCAAGTGATTTATTTTTCCATGCCTAACTAAATTGACTTATGTGTCTATTTGATCAGTCAGTGCTTTCAAACACGACGACAATAAATGCCTATGTCAGGACAGACCAAAATTCTTCTGCGTAAGTAATAGTAATGGGGCTTGTGTGTCTTTTGAGAGTGGAGACACATTATGTACGTCAAGGAGCCCAGGCGTGAGTCCCTTAAATGTCCCTGGGCTTGTTTGGGGGTTTTGGGGGCTTCTGAATGGATCGTTCCTGGAATAATTGTTTTCTTTCAAACCTGTAGGGATATTCTAGTCATTTTGTTATAAAACCTTAAACACAGGAGTGCAATACAAAAATCTCTACCTTGTGTATGAAGGTTGAAACACCAATGATCTGCATTGATTGGAAGTGTGCTAAAAACTCTCGACTGCTCCATTTAATGCAGACACATCAGCTGTTATACAATACAATGCTTGTCCTTAAGAGTGGCAAGGTGCTTTATTGTTTACCAAGTTGTGTGAGTGAGCAGAAAACTCGCTATAATATTTATTTTTCAGGCAAGTGCCATGATTCTGTTCTGCATTGCGTCCAACATGATTTGCAGTACCTGCAAACGTGTTACTCACTCACTGTCACCTCTATGGTGACGTGTTGCAGTAGCACCCAAGAGCTGCATTTGCAGAGCCAAAGGCCAACTGCTGCGCGCTAACATGGAGAGACAGTTCACTTCCTACCCAAAGACATGACACCAAACCAGTCCTCCCAAAGAAGATGATGGGATGGCTTGCTGGGTTGGAGCCCTCGGCCTACTTTCTGTATTGTTTTAAGCAGCTTAGTGCAAAACCTGTAGTTGGCTGTTAAGTTTCTCAGGGAGCTTACGCTGCATCATACAGTGACTATCTGCTTACTGGTTTTGAACTTCAACCGGACAAACCTCTTCTGTATTGTCAATTTTTGATGAGTTCTTTGTGTGCGAGGACCAGCAGTGAAGGACCAGCTGTAGCTCATGCTTTACGCAAAGTCTGCGCCCTTCTCTTCCAGAGCCGCGTGGCTCCGTGTGAGGCTCTGAAGAGAGCTCTCGCATTCTGAACCTGAATCCTTTTATTTTGCTGGCGGTTCATCCCCTGTAGACAGCGACCGCTAGAGGACAGTGTGATTACATACTTGACTGTGTCTCTCAATGCTTTCTAATAAATGCCGTGCCCGTCCACAGGACAGACTATGCTTAAACTATTAGGCTGTGTGAAGGCAGGGCTTAATTCCTGCTTTCACATTGTCACAACTGCTTGCTGTATATATTTGAAGAGTAAGTGCAAAATACCAGAAAGGACTGAGTTAGAATTATTCACTGCCGTAAACATGGGAGATCTCTTTAACAGCAGGCATTGCCTGGGGAACATCAGGAGAATATTACATGGTACCTTTATTCTGAAGTAAGAATTT